TCTAAATATGTATAATAATATTTTCGTAATGTTGCAAACAAGAGAACTTTCGAGTATTTGATTTTCTTCTCCTCATCTATATTTGTTTATATTCATAGATAATTATTATTCAGATTCTATGTTGTGTTGAAAAAGTCATGAATTTTTTATGAATAAAAATGAATTATTATAGCACATGTTTGTTATAATTATTTAAGATCTTTCACACACACCCACGGATGGCATGTCGTACAAATATAAATGCACAAAAACACAGCAAGAAAAATGCTTCATTACGGCAAACTGATGAAGAAATTTTCACAATTCCTTTCGCGGATTGAAATGAACTTACGTTAGGGACGACAACTACAAGTGCAAGAGTATTTTTAAAACTTTTTAGTTTTCGTTTTTCCTTATGTTGTCCAACCACATCCATATCTTGATAATCGTAACTGTGACTATGCTTTTTACAAGTTTTCTGCCGTAGTTAATATGAGAATATGTCATGTTATTCCTGGAGGAGAAATCCCGACCAATAAAGTTCATAGGTCCTGGAAAACACCCCGATTTCCACCGACGTTTCACGGGCTGAGATAGCTTTTGAAACCGTCCGATTTTCTTGTAAAGGATAACATTCTCAACAACAACTCGAAGCCAAAGATTTTGTTGTAGCATATACGATTAATTTTATATATACAAAGTTCAAAGTTGCCTCGAAACATTCATAAATGCTCCTCCTCCTGACACCTCTTAAAAGTAATATAGTTTTGAGCAGCAAATATTTGAATCAGAAACTACTTAGTGTTGTTGTTTTGCTATTCAGCATTTTAAGGGATACTCTCTGTGATAGAGTAGGAATCAAAGAGAAGAGAATATCGAGTGGGGATACTTCACATACATTGCACGCTTAATAGGCACTTTTATTGAAAGATCGGAACTTAAAATGATGCCAGCTTGACACGCCTCACAGGTAATCCGGGTCCTGGTATGGCTGAAGGTCTAGCATTAAAAATCTATAGACCTTATCTGGTTTTTGATTCTTAACAACAACATTAGATTCTCATGTACTTGTACTAAAAATGCAGTTCTATGAGTTATTTAACACTTATTTGTGTTTGTTCCCCCTCAAGCTTCCAAAGAAATCTTCATTGGAATTGGTGTTGAAAGAAAACTCTCTGACTTCTTGTTTATGTTTGCACCGTATATGATAAAATACATAATTGAATCTGGCGTGTTAATAACTCATTTAATCATATGCACACACATAATGCAGACACAAATACTAGCATAAATCGCATAAATGTATTTACGTACGAATCGTGGATAGACTACGCAGACACAAATACAAATTAAATTCATGCACAATTTGACGTGAAGCGAACAATTCCTAATACAAATTGAAATTGAATATAATGGAATGGTTAGTATCAAGTTAGTCTGCTAGTTAGTTATTTAGTTATAGATGGTGAAAAGTTTGGGAATGCATTTTTTTCTCTCTATTTGTTGCTGTTGGTTTTTGTTTTGGAAAAAAACCAAATCTTCGACTATATCAGTTCAGAGTTATTAATATATTTTTTATTATTTCAAATAATAGGTTTTATAAGCAATTTTGTGCTTTTCTTTAAATAATTAATTGTAAATAATTACCGCGTTGAAAAACTAAATAATATATATATGCAACAATAATAATAAGAAAAAAAAATTTCTCAATTTCTAAGCAATTTCTAGGTTATGCTCAATTAAATCGAAGCTAGTGTAAAAATCACACCCCAGTCACTGTCATAATTATCATCATTAGCATAATCTTGTGAGAGCGATTAAAAAACATGGAGCCTTTCTTATTTTATTTTAATTTTTTGTTTTTTTTTTTTTTGTTTGCCTCCGTTCCTTTGCAAAATCCTCACTTTGCTAGTTTACCCCCTAGATTTCCATTTGTTGCATTGTTTTCTTTTAGTGTTTAATTAAAATTTTAATGAACAAATCTTTTGCCATAACATTTGTTAGCACAAATGCTTGCAGTTCCTTGCAAAATTTCATAGGAGCATTTTAATAAATATATATATGTATATATATATATATAAATTTTTGTTGTTGTATTGTTTGTGTCTCAATAATAATTGTGTCGCTCGAGGTCTATAATTATTTTCTAATACAAAAAAGCTACTTGTGTTTATTTGCGTTCGCTTTACACGTAATCAGCGCGTTTTCCCATATCTGCATCCATATAAATATTATTTGAGTTATAATAAATCTCTAAATTATAAATCAAAAAATTCGATTATTTTGTTGAGCGAAAATTCTACCTAAGGTAACTATAACGGCATACATATGTAGCTCTTTTAAAGTATGTTTGCAAAAAAACAACTGCACTAAGAAAAGGCCAACTGGAGCATCTAAGGCAAGGATCTAAATGCATTTATTTATCTCTGTTACGAAACTTTTGAAACTGCCTTCAATTCAAAATTAATGCGACTACTTTTCTTCTCTTTCTCCTACCGCTTTTGACACTGATTACCCAGGAATGTAGGTATAAAACATTTGTGGTTTTGTTATTAAAGCTCTTTGCAGATCCTATATAACATATACACTCTTAATCAAGGTAAAATTTTTTAAGTTAATCCCATATGCTATTAGAACAATTACATCCCTAGAAAAACGAAACTGAGCTTATAGTCTCAGTGGAGGCGAGCCAAAGGTAGAAAAAAAAGTATAGGCAGCAATGAGCGGCGCTTTAAATATTCGTAAGTACGCACCAATAAAAAGGTAATTGCGTAAATGAATGAATCGATTAAAGGAAGTGTCTTGAGCATTTCACCCGTGTTCCTGAACTATCTCCAAATGTAAAAAATTTCCACTATTTCAGCTCACTTGCCGTTCGTAGTGACATTAATTTGATAATTTTCTACTTTCTGACTGAAGAGAAATAATTTAGGGGAGGAGTTTTGCTTCGAAAAAACATTAGACAACTTTTCATACATCGCTCTGTACGAAGGATAGAGGAGCGATGAGACGACCGCCCATCTTTGGTAAATTGTAGAAAGTAAAACCGATAAAAGATCGCAAATTTTTAAGAGTTTCTCATTCGAGTTTCCACTTTGCGAAGGAGAAGAAGCTTAACGCCAATGTTGATTCACAAAATTACTTTACAATAATTTTGGCCTTCGGCAAAAAACAACCGATCATCTTCGTCCAAATCAACTCTATTCTTTCGGAGATTTCTGCAATCAATTGACAGCGGTTCACAAGTAGATTTTGGTTGGTAAATTACTGCAAAGATTCCTTAAATTGATAGGATGAATATCTTTATAGGTAAAGGAAGTTTTCTGATTATATTTCGAAGATGCGATGTTTTACAGTCTGCTCTGTAGTAAAACCAGCCCAAGCACATTGATCGGTTTCGCTAAACGCTTGCTCGCTTGATCACTTTACAAACTTTAATGGAGAAACTGTAAGGAGTGGGTAAGGAGTTTGCCAAGATATCTGTAGACATAGGCATTAAAACGATGAGAAGTATCTTAGCATTTTGCTACTTCCCTCGTGCATCCAGCACGGGCAATGCGATGCTCAAAGTATCAGTAAATTTATTCGCACAAATTTAAAGCAAACTATTATCCTTGAATGTACTTCGTAAGTAGTTACATATATAAAAAGAAAAAAAAAACTCCTTTTGTAAACCTTGAAATACCACAAGTGTCATGATAAATATCTTGTTAAAAAATCACATCATTTGTCAACTGAATTTTCGCTGCTCACTTATACATATACATGTACATATAAAATAAAAAGATTACTTTGAATAATTTGCAAATTATTTTGCCAGAATCAGTCAGTCTTGTGGTTTTAAAAATAAACTTTACAACAAAACTGAAACTCCCTTCCCTCTTGGGCTCCTTGTCACTGTCTCTCTCTCTCTCTCTCCCTCTCTGGAAAAAAACAGTACGGTAACGGCTGGCTGGCTGGCTGGCTGGCTGGCTGGGAGGGGGACAACGAATATATCAATACCGCAAAAACATTTAAGCCGGCATTTAAACAAACACCGAGTTAAACAATGCTGCCAGCATGCGACAACAAAGTTTATTGCGGTCGTGATAGTGTTGTTAATATTAGTGTGCTGATGGTGGTCCGACCATGTATATACAGCATACCTCAAGCCAACTGTCACTTGAGATCACTTGTGCAATGAGACATTTAAACGAGAGTTTTTGCATTAAAGCACGACAAGATATTGTGCGGTTTGTTTTTATTTTATTTTTATTTCATTAAAACATTTTTTTTTTTTTTTTTTTAATTCCTTTTAAATCACAAAGCAATGATAAGTAAGTAAATGACAACAGAAATACTACTAAGTGGACAAATTGAAATTATATTAAAAACAAATGATATTAAAAGAGAGAGAAACAACAAAAACAATAACAACGTCTCAATCATGAATTTAGTAAAATTTGATGCAATGATAAGGCAGCCAGTAAAAGGGGAAAAAAGCAAAAATACATAACGGAAAGTCTTGGCAACAACATCGAAAACATCGAAAAGGTAAAACATATAGTCTTTCTTTTTTTGAACAAAAACAAACTTTTTTTCTTATATTTGGCTAACATTGCGTATATAAAAGGCAGTACCAGCATTAATAAAGATTGTTATCACGATATTGAGTCTTATTTTCATGCTCTAATTATTTTTGTTATCCTTTATTTTCTCATTAATTTCTCATTTCTTATCACTAATTTCCCATCGGACGGTCTATATACCAACACCTCCTTCACACATCCCTGAAAATAAACCTTTTTATATTTACTTACACATATCCGCATGTCCTGTCTCTCTAACTGCGCGATACTTCCTTCTTAGTTATTAGCTTTTTTTTTTTTGCTCTTACTATTATTTAATATTTTGTAGCAATTATTTCTTCGCTCTAAAAACTCTTAAGTATTTCCTCAAATTTTTTGCATTGCATTTTGCGTTTATTTAATAATTAATATTTTATAGGTTACATGTGCATATGTATTTTGAAGTATTTTTACCTTTCTGGTGGCTTGATCGATAGACATCTGTAATTAGAATAAAAATAAAAAAATAAAACATAAAACAATTAGTTTCTCAATAGACTCCATAATAAATATTAGGTAATTAAAACAAGATAAAATTCATTCATTCACTCATTCATTCAACTCGTACGCATGCTTTGATACGAGAACTTAACCAACAGTTTTTTTTCTTTTTTTTTTTAGGAACTCATGGTAAAAATATTGTCATTGTGATGTTTAGGCGTTCGCATTGCTCCTGCTGCTCTTTAACAAAGAAAATGGAAAAAATTAAGTAATCGGGCACACCTCTCCTTATCTTACTGCACACATATGCAGAAAATTACAATCTATAATCTACCATATCAGGATTTGAAACCGGTCATATTGATTATATACCGGGTGTCCTAACAACTAGACGATATGATAGTGTAGAATTACTTATTAATTTTTTATATATATATATTTATATTATATTTATATTATGTATGATGTAGGTTTTTATAATTTGTGTCTACATATATAAATGTCGTTCCGTTTGCAAAAAGTTTCAACAAGTATGCGATTATTTGTTGACGCATCTTTGACTCTCGCTTTTTATCACTAAATGTGTACACATATTGACCGAGCAAACAAAGATGATTCATGTTGATATTAACTGAGACGCAATGGTTTACGCACAGCCACTGATAAAAGTCATTTATGTCACTGTATTTTGTATGGATATCAACAAGGAAGAAAGGCAGCCTGTAGAAATTTATTGAAAATTTTTGATGAAAGTACAATTGATGTAAGAGAGCGTGCAGAAGATTGTTCGAAAAAGACTAAAAAAGATAATTTCCACCTCTCTGATAAGCCGCGCTCTTGGCAAACATGTTTGATCGACGACAATACTATGAAGATCGTTTTAGAGCAAAATCTCTTTTCGACAACATCGGAAATTGCGGGAAGGCTTGTTTCAGCTCTACAGACTATTTTGGACAATATTCGTAAACTAGATTTCTAAAAACGGACAGAGCTAACCGATAAACCTAATATAAGTATATATAGATATTTGCTTATATATATGTTTATTGGATTCAACAATTTCTTGTAGCAAAGAAACAGAAAACTCAATTAATTACGGCATACTGCGATTGTAAATTTTCCAGAAGAAACCTTTTTTTTGTAGTCTTAGCGGATGCCTTAAGCTCTCTGGAATATGAGGAAAAAAATTCATTATCAAAAAGAAATTTTTTTCTCAGAAATTTCAGACTTTTCGTCCAAGCGCTCCTAAAAGATTAGCTGAGTAAAATAAATCACCGCTGGTAAGTTGTAGCCTAAAGTCTTAGCTGCGGATTTATGCGCTTCTATAATAGGCAATAAAAACTAAAAAGACCATAGTGTGAGGCAGCGTATCGTTAAAAACCCTACACCACTTCGCTTGATATAGTTATTCATTTTTCAAAATAAGCTGTTATGTGTAACGCAATCGAAGAATTTGTCCGATCCGAATCACTTCGAACAGCGCCTTTGGGCTAAAACATGTCAGTGTAACAAAATTCATCTAAATATATCAAAAGTTGCGAGCTGCATGTTGAATACAAGAAAAAAGACGGAGAGACGGACAGAAAAGCCTAGCTCGATGCAAAAAGTGCTTCCTAATCGATCGATATAATAAAAGATGCGTCTATCTCAAGTCCATTTGGCTGTTGCATACATCTGCCCACACTTAGTATACCATTCTACCACAAGTGGTGCAGTGCAGGGTATAAAAAAAAACTTATTTTTAGGATGCTACGGCGTCGTTACCTCTTGCGGAGTAATGACATCTTGTGCGCGCAGGATTATGCGTCGGATTTTTGAACTCAATCCTATTGGAACAAATTTTTTAATCAACTTTGTGCATTCAATCGAAAACTAAAATATCGGGAAGAACCAGATTAAAGTTGTAAGTAGAAGTAGCTTTACATATTTTCAAGTAGTGATTTTCCACCTGAAAAATCGACCAGCTTCTTCACCAGGCGTTTGAGCCATATAATGAATTGGAATTAGAATAACGCCTTTGGAATATTTTTCTTGAATTATTTAATTTGAAACGATAACGAAAGTTGTGACAAAAGAAAAGACTGTAGGGTAGCATTGTCGTTTAATAAATAAAAATTCATTCTTCTTCGGAAGTATATATGTATTCTTCATCAGCATCAAATCCTAAATCCATTTAAGCAAGACCGTCTGTCCGTCCCTGTAATGTCTGTCGTATCCAATCTTCTGGTCGCAAAAATGAAATCGACATTAAATTTGGTGGAAATATTGTAAGTTCTTGCTATAGACATTGGTACTGAAATTTGGCAGTAATACGTTTCATAAGACATGACAAAATATATTATCCCCCTTCGTAGATATAGGAAAGAAAAATTTGTGAATTTTTTAATAGCTTTTCGCAATTCCATAAAGAAAAAAGTAGATTTCTATAAGCCAGAAATAACATGCAATAAACAACCCACTGTACGTAGCGTATACAAATTAGACAAATCGTTTGGTTTTCGGCAACAATATTGCTAAGTGACAAGAAAAAAGGTTTTCTGAATGGAAACTATTTGGATTCCAGAGAATAAACCAAAACTGTGCTACGGGTATTAAGTCGAACCTTGCAACTCACCTACGACCAACAAATCATTCGGGTTGATGTAGTGAAGCGATAAAGTTATATGTAAAGGTTATCCGTCCATTATACCGTTCAATCGTCTATCAGGCCACAAGCTGATCTCTGGATATTTATACTTGTTATAAAAACAAATTCTTATGGGTCCTTATAAAGTGGCATTTGGTTCTGAAAATGAGTTATACGTATTTTTCCTATCAATGTCTACCAGTGAGCATTACTACGGCATGTTTACTTTTTCCTATTTATTCAAACGAAAGCAGAAGTGAACAGTCAACGTATTCAAAACCAAGTTGTTCGCTGTCAAACACAAACACCTTCAGAGAGCATCGAAAAAAGATTCCGTCGCACTATGAACAATAAGCGACGTTCATTTTTAACCAATGACGACCTGTGTTCACACCTAGTACATAGTAGGATTTTAAGACTAAATATTTGCAAAAGATTTCTCAATCAATGGATGGTGAACGTGTGAAGAAAACAAAATACTAAAACTGTCTTCAGGCTAACCCCTTACTGTGAATGCAATCACTGATAGTCCACTAACCATATGTTATTACGAGATGAAGACATATTTTTGATCATGAAGAGAAAATTTGTACAAATTGAAAGAAAAATGAAAGAAAAGTTTAAAGAAAAACGAAAGAAAATAATTTAAGTAGATTCGACATTTGGGTTAAGGACATTTCCACGACAAGGGAAAAACGCTGAAACTAAAGTTTAACAATCCACCTCTGGAATTGTAGTAACTGTCTATATAAGAAACAGTAAACGTAGATATCTAAGGCAAAGCTAATTATATTCAGTTCAGGTATTTGCATTGAGTTGAGCTCTAGCTTAGTTAAACTAAGTTCAATTATATTTGGTGCAATTAAGCTGAGTTAACTTATCTAATTTTACCTCAACTACCTTTAATTATCTTAAGTTCAATAAAGATGAGTTCAATTATCTAAGTTCACCTAAGCTACGTTTGGTTATCTTAAGTTCAATTATATTTAGTGCTGTCAAGCTAAGTTTGCTTATCTAAGTTCAGTTAGCCACCACTCGATGTTAATTGTCTTTGAAAGAATGCAAATTTGCAACAATTTACCAAAAAGAAAAGAATTCCTGAGGTAAAAAGAGAAAACACTTAAATTATTGTTTTTCGGATGAAATTGTTTGCGTTAAAGCTTCAAGAGAGTGTTTTTTTTCACTATGAACTCATTTCCCCTGGTAGTACGTATAACTAGCTTCACGTGTTGGCATACATGTCGTGAGGGAAAGAGGGAAAAAGTAAGAGAGAGAGAGAGAGAGGGAAAGAGAAAGAGAGAGAAAAAAAGAGAGAGAGATAGAGAGAGAGTAAAAGAGTAAGGGGAAGGGAAAGATATTAATTTGTAGGTAACACACCTTCAATAATGAAAATTGCGTGTTTAATGAAATTGCATTCTGGGCTGAATTCACATGTAATAATATTAACAGTAAATAATAAGTTTTTAAATCAATACTTAGATGTGCGTTAGAAAAGCGATGTGAAATAAAAATAAAACTCAATTTTTCTCATTTCCGTTTTCCGTTAAAATTTGAAAAAACGAACATTGAATTAAAAACTCGAAGAGAAACAAAAAAAAACTATTTTAAATAAATACAAGTAATGTGCATGGAAAAGTTTTTAAAGGTAACCACACTAACACACACACACACACACACACACATACACAAACACACGCACATACATCCACGTGAAGTGACCTCAATGAATGCCATAGAAAAATGTGTGTAACAACTACAGAACACAACAATAACAGCAACAATAGTAACTTTTGTGATTGGTTACGATGTTGAAATTGTGATGCGATGACATCGAACGGAAATACGCAATACAAACGTTTAATAGTACAACAACAACAACAACAACAGCAGCTACACTATAACGAAAATTATATGCAAGCAAACACCAAACTCTATATATATACTTAGTTTACTTTGCATTATATATATTTATATACATATATGTGATATAAATATATTTTGAAAAGTTTTCTTACAAGTTGCGTTTCGCAAATAAATGGAATTTCAAAACTACAACTAAACGAAAACTCAAACGGCAAATATAAGTGAAAGCTGTCAAGGCAGTGCATTAAGAATTTTTTGCAAAAAATATCCTTTTTATTTATTATTTATTAAGTTCTTCATGCCCGTTTAATTAAAGATAACGTAGAAACCACTTAATAATCTATTTAAACATTTAACATTTCCAACGAACATAATTCAATAATGCAAACTAAACTAAACTCACCAAGTGGACAGACATACAGGTCTGCTTATTTACATGCATGCATATATACATAAGTCATTTATGCTCGCTCAAGAAGATAAACATTAAAAAAGAGAAAAGGAACAAACG